GAACTTGGACATAAAGCCTCCAAATTTTAAGAAGAAACTCCTGTTTGTTAAGGCCATCCCATTTGTGGTATATTCTTGTCATCAGAGCGGCACTAGGGAACCAGAACACACATCTATCACTTCTGTCCATTTCCAAATTTTCTTTTTTAATCACCCTCATGAGGTTTTTTAACATATGTACATAAGTAGCCAGAGAAACAGCTATGGATATGTGTATGGTGTGTTGTACACATACAACTAGTTCCTAGGTCAGTCTACTGAGAGAGGCTGGAAACAATGATACCCCAACTGCAATCAGCTCACCACGCACCCCAATCTTGGCTTCTAAATACCATCCTCCACTGAAAGGTCCTTAAGAGAAATAGCCACATCCAGGACTAGCACAAGGAAAGTTCAAGAAAAGCCTAGAACATCCTGTTCCAGAAAAAAAAGAGATGCTCCAGGAACAATACGGCCACATCAAAAGGACACAGAAGCCAACTTACATGGGCTCCCAATCGGTGAATATAGGGAAAAGTAAAACTGAACATCAAAACAAATGATGAGATGGGACTATCAGATTATAAATCACTGAATAAAAGAGACATTCTCAAGTCCATACTGACTTAACTGACTAAATGAATAGCTGGAGGAGAAGGGAAGCTCTCTCCTGCAGCAGAATCTAATTAGAAAGCACAGATGGAACAATGGCAACAGGAAGCCCCCCCTGGGCAGCCATCACAACCACCACCACAGGGCAGCTGATGGGGTGGCAATCATCCCTGCGTGCAATCATCCCTGGATAAGGAACAGGGTACTGTGATACCCCAACACCCCAAGCACACACACACACACACACACACAGAAAGTATAAACATACACAGGGGAATGTGGTGGCTTTTCAGTGGCATCACTACTAGTGGGTCAGGGGGGCAGGGAGGCCTTCTGATAGGATGTGGTGAGAGAACACAGCACGATTTCTGTGCCCTTCCTGCCCAGGGTGCCTGTCCTGAGTGCAGTCATGAGAAAACACTGATGGTCCAGGTTGAGAGTGGTCCTCACAACGAAAGGCTTGTATCCTCTAAGACTGCAGAAGACAGGAGGGAGGGAAAGACTGGGGGACTGTTCCAGATGGAAGGAGACTGGAGAGTCAGGATTGTGAAATGAGAAAGCATGTTCCCAGATAGGACCTTAGACCAGAAAGGGGGTAAAAAAGTCATTATTGAGACAGGGGCCGAAATTTGAATGGGATCTGTGAAGTGGATGCTAATGTCATCAGCACCGATTTCTGGTTGGGGGTGCTGTATAGTGGAAAGGCAGACCCATGTCCTTTTGTTGGGGGGGGGAAAATAATATTTATGTCATAAAAATCCAAAAACCAAACTCACTGTCACCAAGTCGATGCCAATTCATAGTGACCCCCACTGGGTTTCCGAGGCAGTAAATCTTTACGGAAATAGGTTGCCCCATCTTCCTTCCACGGAGCAGCTGGTGGGTTTGAACTTCCTGGTTAGCAGTCAAATGCCTTAAGCACTGTGTTCCCAGAGCTCCTTATTTATGTCATAATGCCCCAAAATTCTTAAATTCTATTTCCTCATATGTACAGAGAGAGAGAGAGAAGGGGAGGGAGAGAAGCAGCGGTTACGAAGAAGGATGACGGGTCAAAGGTTGTAAATGCTGACAACTGGGGGCACATGGATACAGGGGAAGGGAGAGTTCTCACACAGGTGCCTAGACTCCTGGGAAGAGGCAGGGGACAGGGTGCTGCAGACGGCTGGGAAGGGCTTTGAAAATCAAACCTAAAACCTTAATGCAATCCTGATGCAAGACCAAGCAAATGGTAGGGTAACTGTACTACAAGTTTTTTTTTTTTTTTTGGTTTTTTTTTTCAATTTTTTTTAAGGAGCAGGGTAAAGACTGAAAGAAAGAGATTAGAACAGAAAGCTAAAACAAAATGCCTACATGCAACAAGGTCAAACTTACAGCAACCAAAACACAGTGCTATATTTGAATGGGATTAAAAATAGTAATAGTAATAAAAGGGTCTTAGCCTCTGAAATTGCTGCTCAAACCTCCTATGTCAATGGGGGACCACCACCATTTACTGAATCCCAACCAGGTGCAAAGCCCCGCCCTGAACATGGTCTCCACACCTCCATCAGGTGAGCGGACACTTGCCATTTCACAGATGGAACAGAGACTTAAGGGGCTAGGCAATCCCAGGGCCCGGGTTCACATTCAGCTTTGTCTGACTCTTAACCACTCTACCCTGTGGCTGTTAGAACTGTGCATATGCTTTATGTCTCAGGAACCTGTTCAAAAGCTCTGTCCATTCTTAACAGCTCTGGAGTTCTCATTTCTCAGCTTACACACATTTAGAAGTGGCAGATAAAAGGCACATATAAAAAGCAGCAAATGAAGTCGCTGTTAATCAGATGCCATGCAAAGACTAAAAACAGACCAAAAATGGTATCACCATAAAATACAGGAACAGACAATCAAAATGATCTCAAGTTATCCAGAAAAGATTAAAGGGCATTTAAAGTCTCCTTTTAAACAGCAAGGAACTCTGCCTGACCATGTACTCGAAAACAAGCAGCCAAGTGCTTGAGACAGAGCTGCCGGCATACAGTAGACACTCTATACATGTCCACTGAATAAATAAAAACCCTGTTTCGTGCTTTCCAAATTAAGCGGTAGGACCAGACTTTGTAGGTGTACTTTTACACATTCATAGGTTTTCAAAAGAAATTGGAGGTGGGGAGAGTTATTTTGATATTAACTTTTGAAAATTAACACAAATGGGGAAATTGTAGTCAATGTTGTAAGACACAATGTGTATGAACTATGTGGAAAATGAAATTGCTCTATAAACTTTCACCCAAATCACAATGAAAATTTTAAAAATAAAAAAATGAACATAAACGGTCTGCATAACTGAATCATGTGCATGACCATGTGGTAACTCGATGCTGCTCGGCGATGTCTGTGCTCCAGTTCCTGGTGCAGTCGGGCGACGGATCTGTTCTGCGCTAGCTAAACAGAACAGAGACGGGTTTGATGCCAAAATGAAGCTTTTGGGGGGAAAGTAGGCCAAATGGCCTTCCACCATGCTAGAGGAAGGTTTTACAACAAACAGCTTGAAACAGGGAGAGGCGGTGAGGGAAGGGTTTGCTCCAGGTAAGCAGTGCAGCACAGGCCCGGGAAACTAAACAGTGCTGCAGCGGCACGGGCGTGGCCACGGCAGAGCGGGGAGCAACAGAGCCTTCCAGCCGAGCATCCGCCACACAGTGACTCACGCTGGGGCAAAATATCACTGGATGGGGAGTTCTGTCTGCATTCCATCTTTATACTTTAAGCACAATCATTTACACATTGTTTTTGAAAAGCAAAGAAAACTTGCATGTGTTAAAGAACCACTGTAGTTTTTATAAAAACAAGTTAAGAAAATACTGGAATAATTTTCTCCTATACAGTCCTCGAGAGTTTGAGGACAGTTGTTTTAGCTTATTTTAATTATCTGCTACCCGCTATTGTTGGCAGCAACAACTCAACCAGAGTTGGTATACTTTCAGACAGTAACGTTTTATTTATTTGAACAAAGAACCAAATTAAAAACCACATTCACTGGGGGAAAAGATTGCACTAAGGCCAAGAAAAATTACTACCATAACACTTTTGTTGTTGTTGTTGTTACTATGTCCCGTCGAGTCGGACCTGACTCATAGAGACCCCTCCTTGGGTTTCTGAAGCAGTATCACTACGGAAGTAGACTGCCCCATCTTCCTTCCGAGAAGTGTCCGTAAACACTAAAGACTATCTAATGATTATCCACTAATGCTGTCTCCAGAGTCAAGAGATCGAGTTGTATGTGGCTCCCCTAATTGTAACTTGTTTCACCTGAGGACCTACAGACATCACAATGTAGGTCCTATTGGAATAAAATTTCATGTTCACATACTTTATTAGCAACCAGAGTCACCTGTACAGTGTTTAGCCACATTTTCCCCACACTAAATGAACCATGAGCCAGATACATATACCCTAGCATATCTGGACCTCCTCCCCAAATACTTCCTTGATTGTGGAGTTATGGGCAGAAATGCACTAGTAGACTCAGACAGTAAATCTAGCCCCACATAATTAGGAAATCCTACACTGCTACAAATAATACAGAAATAAAAGGAAGAAACCTATGTGCATGTAATGCAGTGCACATATATGGGGGGGCGTAAGGAAATGGGGAGCGCAACTCAGTTAGACAGACCCTAGTCCAGAGGGAGGGACTGGGTTTCACACATTTTAAATGTCGTCCCATTGAATCCTCACACATACTCTGTGACGTAAGCATTACCTCATTTTACGTGGGAGAACAGAGGTGGAGACAGGGTAAGAACTTTGCCAGGTCACACACTTGGGGGCGGGGGGCTGAAGGGTCTTGAGTGGCTCCGTGTCCACACTCCCTCCTCTGTGCTAAGCTGCTCTTGGGCAGGCCGCCAGGCAGGCAGTCCACATTGCCTGCTGAAATGCCACTTCATTCTTAAGCACTCAATAAAGCAAAACTCAAAAGACAAAATCGAGACTGGGATTAAATACATGAAAATAAAATCTGCTTTTATGAATCAAGGACTTACAATGGCTATTAAAGTTAAGTTACATAACCAGTATCTTAAATTGACTCCACCTACTACAGTAAGAAGTATATCCTATGAAGAAAGACACTCTAGAAAAATCTAGGTGATGGTTTTTCATGATTCTCCTAGAATTTAATTGTTGGAATTATGTTAAGAAAAAGAACAGAACAGATAAATAGTCACCTGTCTTACAAAAATAAATGACAAATGCATAAATGACACCTTCAGACAATGGCTTCATATCTGGAAAGAATGAAAAGGTCTGTGTAACTCTGAGCTGCACATCACAAAGCATCAACATCTAACAGGTCACTACTTTTTTACAGATCCTTAATTTTATCCGACAGATCTACCATCTCCCTCCACATTACCTCTGAGAAGACTTACTTTGGTTCTCCTATCTTGATGCCGGGATGCTGTGTGTAGGCGTGGGAATGTGTACTGGGGGCAGACTTGAATGCCATTGGACAAATAGGACACTTGTAGAAGACTTCACAGTGAGAACCTTGAATGTGAGACTTCAAAGCGGCTACATCCGAGTACACGACGTTGCAGTGCACACATCTGTTAGAAAACCAGACACAGAGGCAGCGAAGTTAACTCCGCCGGCTAAGAACAGGGTAAAGTGAACCTATTTTTAAACAGTCCTTGTAGGTTTCTGATGGATTGTTAGAGGCGTTATTTTGTTCCTTGCTATTTCAAACATCAAATTATTTTTATATATTTAAGAGGGAGGTCATGAAAAAGAAAAATAAAATCCAAATGGTCTAATTTTGGAGCATCTTTGAAGTTTCTAGGGAGCGTCCAGAGTCCAGACTACGGTGAGACTGACAGGTCACAGGGGACGTATCAAGACCAGGGACACGGCAAGACCCAGGATCTCCTGGCTTTGGGGAAGAGGCCCACGGCTGACCTGACAGCCGGGCCCTGTCCTCCTACCCATCCCCAGCACCCAAGGGGCATTTCCAAATGGAGAAATCTTCACTGTCTAAGTTACACGCCATCAACAGAGGGGCAGAGAGGAACAGGTGAGGACTGGCTCCAAAGCTAAGGCTAACAGGGCCACCTTTTCCTAGTACACACTGACGTGGCCATGGATCTGGAGCTCAGGGTGGCCCCTAGAGTAGGGAAGGGAAACCACCTGGGTTTTTATCTCCCTGAAAATAAACATAAGTACACTTGTACTTGTTTAAGAAATTACACGAATTACAAACTTCTGACAACTCCGCATCTGTTGAAAAAGTGCCTCTCTAGCTACCATCCCTGCTTCTTGGATTTCTGAAAGTTTGCTGATTGGCTCATTTCATATCTATCTACTTCCTTTCCCCCTCTCAAGAACTCTCAGCAACATCTGTAACACATTTCTCTGATGACATACTTGTCCTTCCTTGTTCATGCCTAAAAACTATTTGAGAGTGGTCTTGCTCACTGCATACCCCACAAATCTACTGAGATGCACCTCTAACACAACTGAACATGTATGTTCCTGGAAATATGCATGAGCTGACCTAAGGAAGGCAGGCTGCAGGTAACGGAGATGGAAGCAAAAGGGAAAGTTATTTGGAAGAGAAGGTTCTTCCCTAAAGACAGCGATGTCAGGAAGGGACATTCGCTCGATCTTTCAACATGGACACAATCAAAGTAAAGGACCCTTTCTGTTTTAATGGAGAAGGGGAAGTGTTAAGAGTACAGAAATCATGTATTCTTGCAGGGTTAACATCGGAGAGTAGGACAACAGTGGGATGTACAAGGGTACAAAAGAGAAGGCCATACAAATCAACCAAAGGCGAACCACACTGCATACACAAATTTGCCTGGAATGATCACTCCATTTACCACTCGGTTTGCGTGGACCAGCAGACGACTACTGCATCAATGCACTCAAAAGGATTCAAACAGATCAGCTCCACTGCAAAGGAGCTGGGTTCCCAGGATCTGTTAATCAAGGTATGTATGTCCCTAAAATCCACGTGCACAGACCATTCAAAACGCTGTGCAGTTGTTAGTGAATGATCTTTATTTGCACACAAGGGAATGATATACTGACCGAAAACCAACTCTCCGTGTGTAGTGCAGACAGTTCTTGGTGACGTGGGTCTGGAAGTGCACCGACCGGCAGATGGCCCCACACTCAGGGCAGGTGTAGGGAGACTTGTGCTGATGGATCCTCTGGTGTGATGCAAAACTGCACTGGTTCGGAAGCAGCATCTGGCAGATGGTGCACGTCTTCTGAACAAACCAAAGCGGAAAAGGGTTGGTCCCACGATTTTCAAATACGCAAAGCATCCTGGTTAACCTTCAGAATAATTTACACCCCTCATTTCAAATACTGTTGTAACTGCCTCCAAGCCTGAGGAGAAAACAACTTGAAAGCTCAGTGTTGAAAGTAAAGTTATCTCCAAAACCAAACTCACTGCCACTGAGTAGATTCCGACTCAAAGCAACCCCCTTTGGGTTTCCAAGGTGTTAAATCTTTACAGAAAAAGACTGCCCAGTCTTCCTTCCACAGAATGGCTGGTGGGTTTGAACCGCTAACCTTCCGGTTAACAGTCCAATGTCTTAGGCCCTATGCCACCAGAGCTCCTTAAAATTCTCTACCATGCAAAAATAAAAACTGCAGGATGTTGCCAGGCTCATCCCAATGTGTGAGCTAAAGAGAATGTCTGCTTCAGGCAGAGTTCTAATTCTGTTACTTCAGGCGGAGTTCTAATTCTGTTACTTCCGTATTTTATTTAATGCAAAGAGGGATTAGAAAAATGTTTCTGCAAATTATGTTAGCAATCACCTCCAATGTTTACAAACAAGTTTATGAACATGTTTCTTGACAGTAGCTACAGTGTCCGCAACTCATTTTCTTCAAAATAAAAAATAATCAGAGGTTAAGCCAGTTTCTTATATTCAAGTTATTTCAGTCTTATGAAATCTCAACTATAGAAATGCAAAAGATAATTTACTGTGTTGACTTTCACCAAAAACATAACAAATATTTAAAAAAGGAAAGAAACCCAAAATAATAGCCATAGCAATTAGTTGCTCTTTTTACACACGAATGGGCTTTTAAATGGAGGAACTAGCCATGCTATGATCTATAATTAAAACCAATGAACTCCATTTTAAATACATAAATTTAGACATTCACTAGAAATTTTATAGAGCTTAAAATCTGATCACATATAAAATAAAATTAAGACAAAATCCTCTTTGGAAAAAGCTATACATCATTAACTACCCAGGAAAAATTAACACACACAATTTTTATCCCCTTATATGCAAACTCAGGAGCTCTGGTGGCGTAGTACCTAAGGCATCTGACTACTAACCAGAAGTCTGGTAGTTCAAACCCACCAGCCACTCCTTGGAAGAAAGGCTGGACAACCTACTTCTGTAGTGATACCACCTCAGAAACCCAAGGAGGGGTCGCTATGAGTCAGATCTGACTCAACAGCAGTAAGTATATATAAACTCAACTCACTAAACTCACTGCCGTCAAGTCAGATCAGACTCATAGTGAACCTTTCCCCCGTCC